ATTATTGCGATCCATTATGAATTTCATTTTCGGTAAGGAAACAAAACAACAGTGAAAAAAAATCGATGAAATAATGAAGATGAGTCAAAGAGAAATAATATTAATTGATTTTCATTGTCGTCATCAATATGGTTACTATAGAATCCTATTGTTTTATTTCTGGTTTTTTCAAATCATCATTATTATTATTATTCAGTTATACATCGAGATGTCGGTTGAAAACCAATAATAATAATGATAATAATACCATTTATCTGTGAATGACAATAAACAAACCAGAAGCAAAAAGTAAAAGAATTTTAACAATGGAAAAAAAAAATTTTTTTGCCGTAAATTGATCTACGTTTCAAACTCTTTAAGTCTCTCTCTCTCATTCACACATACTCTATATGATGATGTAGATTATTTGTATGATAAGACCAAAATACCCAAATAATACCGCACCACATACATCCCAAAGAAATTGGAACTGAGAGAAAAGAAAAAAATCGAAACGAAAAAAAAAATGTGGCATACAAAAAAAAGAGGATTAAATTTCATTCATCATTTGTGTGTGTGTGTGTGTGTGTGTCTTCGATGAGTCTAGAATCTAGATTTTTGATTCTACCATTCAAAATAATATCTTTAATAGTTACAAAATAAGCAAAAAGAACAATGTCAAATTACTGCCATCGCTATCAACATAAACAAGTAATTCTGTTAGTAAAGCTAACAACTAAACGAGAAAAAAAAATTGGTCAAGAGGAAAATCCTGTTTAAAGGATTTTTTTTTTCAATCTAAAATTTTGCATTTTTTTTCTTCTCAAAAAAAAAGAAAAAAAAGATAAGCTTATAGCTTAAAATATAGAATAAAAGAATGAAAACAACAAAAAAAAACATTGATGCGGCTCGATGTTTTTTCATCATCATTATTTACAAACAAAAATCTAATAATAATTTCCATTATTCATTCATTTATGGATTGGATTTTGTTTTTGTATACTTGTATTATTGTTGCATTGTATTGTGTTTTTTTTCGTATGCATTATGGATGATAATTATGGATCATCATTATAGATTATTATTAAGACGCCCCAAAAAACAAAAAAAAAAAAAAAATTCAATTCCAAGGTCATCTAATTTGCATTTTTTTTATCAGGCCTTGAAAATGACGGAAATTCAAAACAATCCATAGAATGTTTGACATGATTGACGTACATTGTTCATTAGTTGGTTCACTATAGTTGGTAGTTTGAATTTGGTCAGTTAAGATTAAAGAATTTTCTCTCTCTTTCTTTCTCTCTTTATTTGTTGTTGAAAAATAAATAATTTATTGTATTCATGACAATAATGTTAGTAATATATTAATTGGGGTTTCAAACATAAAATGAAAAGAAAAAAAATTCTGATATCAAAGAATAATCCATTTTTGTTTTGTTGGGTGGAGTGCCACATATGAAACAAGAAAAAAAAAACAACAACAACAAAATTTCAAACATAAATGTGGACATACAAACACCGAAACATATGAATGGAAAAAAAGTGGAAAAACATCGATCAAGAACCATGATGATGATGATCATCATCATCTTTGACAAGGGCATATATTTTATATGCGAACATATGTGACATTGACAAATTCAAGCAAATTCCATTTATTCAAATATTATAGAATGAATTTTTTTTTTTTGATAGCAATTAAGTGAAACTTCAAGTTCAAGACCAAGGACAATGAAAATGAAAAAACTTTTTCTTTCCAGAATAATTAAGGAACCAAACAACACACACACACACACGCTCGGAGGGTATAATATTTTGAAAAAACAAATTCAACTTTCTTCACCATCATCATTATAATCATCAATTTTGATTAATTACAGTATTCTAACTTTACGAATAAATCTCAAGAATAATCCACATCATTCTATCATCATCATAACAATCGATTTGCAAATATTTTATTCTGGATCAATAATGATAGTCAAGTATAAAGAATAAAAGTATAAGATTGTTTTAGAAAGAAATAAAAAATGATATATTTTCATTATCGTCATTTTGAAAAAGATGGATGGAATTAAAAATCTTAACCATAGAAAAAACGAACAACTAATGGGAATCATGATTCATGAATGGATATGAGAAAAGAAGAAAAATTGATTTCACATTGTAGCAAAAAATCTATGGGCAAAAAAAAATATGGAATGAATTTTTTTTACGATTTATCCAAAAAATTTTCATTCTTGATGAATATTATAAGGAAAAAAAAAATGATGACAAATTTCATTGCAGAATTTTTAGGATAACGATTATGATTATGATTATGATTGAAACCAGACACCATATGAATTTGTTGTGTATGAACAAACGCAACGAATAACTAACGAAAAATCAACAAAAAGGAATATTCTGATTCTGAATGATGAAATAGTTTGTGCACTAGTTGTATGAATGTATAATGATAATGAACTAAGAAATTAGCAAAAAAAAAAAAAAAACAAAATGAAAAAGAAAATTTTTTTACCATTTCTAGCCAAAAAAAAAAGAAGAAATAAATTTGAAAATGATGAATTCTGATTCTGTTCACATTCCTGTTTCAAATCTACTTTGATTTTTTTTTTATTTTTTTTTATTTCATCCATCAGAAAGATTTCATGATATTTATTTTTAAAAGCAAAGTTTTTTTTCTGTATTTTTCATTGCCATTTGCAAATTATAATGTATATACATACATAATGAAATTCATGAAAAACAACTTAGCAAAATCTTTATCCTGGAGTGATAAATCATTTTCAACAACAACAACAACAACAACAACAACCGAAAGCGATAGAATGGAAAATGGGAATCAAAAATGAAGAACGAAAAGAGAAAAAAAATTTAAAATTTAAAATTTTTTCTCTTTCTTTAAAAATTCTTTCATCTTGATTACATAATATTTCATAATGATAAATTTTGCTTATTATTATAAATAAATAAATAAAAAAAAATGTGAACCATTCAATATATCTATCTATATGTAAAGAATAAAACTAATTATTCTAACCAAATCATACGATAAAAACAAAATTAAACATGGATTTAACAGAAAAACAGGTGCATTATTATAAGATGATGATGGAAAACAACCAGATAATGATGATGATGATCTTTGGGTGATGACAATCACCAAAAATTGAATCCATACGTTTTATTGAACAATGTTGAATTATTCATTCAATTCGATAAACATCATCATCATTAATGATGAGAATGGTTTTTGGAACGATAAATCGATAAATGTTTGTATCAGCAAAAAAAAATAATCAATTTTATTATTCAAAGCAAAATGTATTAAAAACTTTGAAGCAAAAAAAAAAAAAAAAAATTGCAACAATCAAACAATAATTTATCATTGCAATTATCAATGTCCGGACAAGTAGAATATTATGGTGAAAGGGAAAATAAAATTAATGTAGAATAAAATAGGTGAAAATAGTAATGAAATAAATGAATCATTTGTTTTATAGAAACACAAAAGGGGAGGGAAAGATAAAAGATATCATCAAGAATCAAGAATAAACTAAACACATAAATATTTGGACAATTTTTGATATTTATATGGACATTTTCTCTTATTAATGCAATTTAGAAATATCCATATAATAATTTCTACATAAAATGGTATTCTATATTTTTTTTTTTTTTGGTTCTGTCTCACCATATGTTATAATACATTTTGTTTATTGTTTGATTCATTTTCACCCGTCATCATTATCACACATATGCTGACAAACATGAAATATTTACTTGGAAACAATATAAATGAATTGGAAGTGAGATACAGAGAGAGAGAGAGAGAGAATCAGAATCAGAAAAACGATGAATGGAAACAAAACAAAAACAAAACAAAAAAATGGTATGGAATTGAAATGAAAGACGGAAAAAAATTGCAACCTTTTCGATATTTTCGGTAAAGGAAATGCAAGTTTCTTCTAATAGGATGTGAAAAAAAAACAAATCAAGAATAAAACGACCCAAAAAAATGAACCAATTTTGAATTGGATGATCATTCTTCTTCTTTTTTCCCTGTCTATAGAATCAAAAAAATAGATTCCAAAATCATGAACACACACACACACACACACAGAGAGAGAAATGAATGACCCGGGAACAAAAAAAAAAAGATTCATCAATAATCGTCCAAGTTCATGTGTGTGTGTGTGTGTGTGTGTAAACGAAATGTCAGAAAATCTTTCATCCTAAATCATTGTTAGTGATGCCTAAAATATCTACTGTTTCAACAATATAAATAGAAGGAAAAAAACGGACTGGAAAAACCGTTTGTTTTGAACTCAACAACAACAACAACAATAGCAATCGTCTGAAAGTTCAAACAATCAAATATATTTTGTTTTATTGATTCAAATTTTGTTCTCTTTTTTTATATTTATTTAGGGTAAACAATGTATAACAAAGTATAATTTTGAATTTTTGTTTTGTTATTCATCATCAACATGAAAGAATTTTCAGAATTCAAAAAATACTATTGTTCATCACATCACTAACGATACATAGAATACAATATTCCGGATGTTTTGATCACCACAGTAACTAGATTTGAAATTTGAAACAAAACATTTGAACAATAGAAAAGATTGTCGTATATATATTATTGTCGTGATCAAACGAACACATTCAGCAGGTATGAATTGATGATTCACATGAAATTGAAATTTATTCACATTTTTTTTCACTGATTTACTATGACATCCGTTTGAATGACATAATTGAATTTCAAATTGTCAAATATTTGGATCGCAAATCAATATATATAATAGAAATTTGATGATGATCATCATGGTAAATGGAAAAATATATCTTTTTTTTCATTTCATAAATGCCCTTTGGCATCATTATATCAGTATGAAAGATGAACAATAAATTCAAAAAAAAAATTCGAATAAAATCAGTATCATAGCTAAAAACAGAAAATAGATTCGCCATCTGGTGGACGTAGTGAGAAGAATAAAATTGAAAATTGGTTGACAATTTTCACAATTAAATAAAAATTTAATCACCATCGTTTTTTGTCAATGAATCTTGACAAATACAATTCAATTTGGAAGAATTATCACATGAATAATTTTTGGTAGCTTTTTCAATTTTACTTGTTTTACTGATCCCTAATCGTGGTCGTCCAGAATTCAAACCTTCCAATAGAATACATGCTTTACAAATATCCTGGCTAGAAATGTATCCACAACGTTGACAGATTCCTTTGGATTTCAAACGATTCGTAATGTCCGTATTATTTCTAGTGATTGAATTTCTGACATCAAAACATTCGCCAGATTTTATAATATCCAATATGACGGATGGACGAATTTTTTCCAATTGTTTTAAATGTTCACGTGCATAGCCACGATATGCCATAGGTGAATAGATACATTCGGTACTAAAATATTTCAATTGTTTAAAACGTGCATAGAGAACAATCTCTTTTTCATATGTATATTTGAATGGTTTAGCACGTCTTATACACCAACCGGTTTCAGTTTCATCAGTGACATCTGTAATTATACGTGCTGAACGTCCTAATCGAGCTATATCACCACGAAGAATGTTCATTAGTATTGTTTCGGCTAAATCATCGGCATTATGTCCAGTAACGATTGTATCACACTTTAATAACATAGCTCCACGATCCAAAGCTTGGCGACGAAATACACCACAAAATGTACAGTTATTTTTTACTCCGGTAGCTCGTACGATTTCATCCATTGTCCAGCCATATAAATCTCGATAGCTTAGTATTTTCAACGGTATACCATAATCAATTTGATTTTGTTTGACTGTATCGAGGGAATCATCACGATAACCCGTAATACCTTCATCAATCGACAGAAGAAATAAATCAAGACCATAATCATGACGATCGTTGAGCAATTTCACAATATATGCTAATACTGTGGAATCTGTATTTCGATGATTTAAAATCATTAGCATCATTACATGTTTATGTTTTTCAATAAGTTAAAACCTTTTCCACCCGAAGCAGCTATTGCTACTTTTTCACCACGATGAAATAATTTTCCACGAATAATAGTCTCATGAATTTCCGTTTCGAAACAATAAAAAAAACATTCTTTACATAAACAATCGATCTGCAATAAAAAAAAAATCAGTATCATTCATTATAATCTAATAGCAATTTATATATATCATACCGTTTTCGAACGTTTGACATTGGCCCTTGCCGTTTTACATCGACTACAATTAATTATACTCATCGCTAATTCTGTTTTTAATAAAAATCAATAAAATTCAAAATAACAATTTTATAAACATGTGCATGCATCGAATATATAAAGAATTAATAATAAAAAACATTTTCGGGAAACTTTTCCTTGATTCCAATTGTGATTGAATTTCTGCAAAGATTTTTTGTTTAAATTTTCGCGCAGCCCCAAGTCAAGTTTTATTTAATGGAATAAAAAAACAGGTATTACGACATATTCACTTGATTGGAACTCTATGTAAATTCATATTTTTAAACATTCACACATTTTCTACATCATCAACAAATGAAATCTGGCCAAGGTTTCATTCATTTTGATCATCATTGAAAATGGCAAATCTTATCTTTATCGATCGATCGTTCGATAAAGAAAAGTGGGAGAAAATGTTTGGCAAGTTTTTGTGAAGAAATATTTTTTTTTGTTGTTTGAATTTGAAATTTTTTTATACATTTTTTTTTCTTGATGTTAATAACATTAGAGAATGGACACATTTCTGTATTTGATTTCACAATTGGAATAAATAATGTACGTATACGTAGTCTTATCATGGTAGGTAAAAGAAAAATACACAAATGAAAATCTCTAAATCAAAATTACAAAAATCATAGAAGTGATTGTGACGAAATTTGCAAAAAATAATGAAATGAAAATCCTGATTTCAGATAAAACGAGTTGATAATACAATTTGAATGAGAGAATAAAAATAGAGGAAATTCTTATTGTCCATCCACTCCTATTGGGCTACCGTCAACCGACTCGGATGGTGATGGTGGTGGATTTTCTTCAATCAATTGCATAATTGTTTTAAAGTTTCGTTTTCGTCCAGCCGTATTACCGTACCATTGATATTGTTGTGGACATAAAGATGAATGACAAACCGGCATATAGCGAGTATCCGTACGTGAATAATTATCTTCACTTGCTGCTGAATTATCTTTATTTAAATAATGTTTCAATACACAGGTATGTGGCCGGCTACAAGAATAAACGGTAGAATTATTTTCACATGGAAAACTTGATTCACTAGCCGGTTTTGGATTTCGAACCCAAGACAACATCTGTTGAAATGTTACAAACCATACATCTTTCAATGATTGAATGTGATCAAGGAAACGATTCAATGCACGAACATTTCGTCTGAAACAAAACAAAAAAATATTTTTAAAAACATTCGATGAAATTGCAATGATAAATTACTTTTGAGTAAACCATGTAACATGGAAATTAAGTTGAAATGGTGCACGATTTGTGTTGTAATGTCGATCAAAATTTTCTTTTAAAAATCAACAATCGATTCTATGTCATCATCATCCGATGCAGCAGGAAACACACATTGATCAGCATGATGACAGGTATTAAATTCATTATACAATGGATTGATTGGAACCTCCCACAATCCAGGAAAAGATCGTGTAGGACATTTGAGTGGACGTCCCAAAAATGGTGTTTGACGTTTCGCACGAGCACCGCGATTGCTACTACCTCGACCAGATCCAAAACCACCACGTCCATAACCAGAATCATCATCGGTTGGGCCGAAACGTCGACTTTCATCTTTTTTAGGTTGATTTGAACAATCAAATGGTTGTCGATAATCATATGTGAATGGCCAATATGGTGGCGTTCCTCTTGGTGCAGCAATACTGGAATCATAAAGGAAACCAAAATCATGAGCCATTTCAAACATGGAATTGCCACCTGGACGAATATATGGAGCACGCATTCCCACAATATTTTCACGAGTCAATACTGGAGTCGTTGTCGTACCACCAGCATTTGCAATCATGATTTCTCGCATACCAATCATTTCTTCGGCCCACTCTGAATAGTTTGCATGATCAGTCCACCATGTTTCTGGTTGGCGATGTCTAATGAAGAAAATGAAAAATCATTTTATTTCCAGTAATTAGGTAAGGTGAATTTACTCACGTGATTGAATGGACGGCCATTTCATGACCTTGTGCTGCAAACCATTGAATTTGTGCATAATTTGAATATTCATGATTAATGAAAAATGTGGCGCGAATTCCACATCCATTAGGATTTCGTCTATAACAAAGAATTTACACAATATAAAACTTAATATGATATGATAATAATGACTGTGATTATTATTACCTAGATTGTTGTGAATTAAAACGATTTCCATATCCCAATACTCGACGATAATGATCATAAACTAAATCATTTAGAGCTCCACTAAAGCTTATTAAAACCATTTGTGGTGTTTGACTCGGTGGAATGTTGGCCGGTATTAAGGTTCCATCATTCGTACAAAAACAATTCGGTAAACGACAATCATCAAGAACACATGGTGGTAAGGCATCTTGACTTAATTCACGTTCTTCTGCACGAACTTCAGCTTCATCAATTGGACCACAAGTCAGTTGATCCGTTTTGAATGTACAATATTTCAATTTTGCATCAAAATATAATGATGGTGGACAAGTTTGACTCCATGAACGCCAATTACCACAAAGATTAAATTTTCGACAATTATTTGGATCAGCAAAAAGACCATCAGATTTTGGACAGGTAAAATCTGCACCGGAATTTCCATGTGAATCATCATCATCTGGATCTGGATTCGAAGTTAATGGTGGTGGTGAATTGATGTTTGGTAATGATTCTGGTTGCCCTCGAGAAAATTGTCTCGATGATGATGGCTGTTGTGATGATGATGAAGATGATGATGATAATGATGTTGAACCTCGTGATCGTTGTCCATGTGAAATAGCTTTAGAATGATCAACAACAAAAAAAAATTAAATTAATATTCATTGATCGGGATTTAAGTAAAATGAACAAAAAAAAATTATTTACCAAAAATGGAAAGAAAGACAAAGATAAAAATTTTCAAATTTTTTCCAAACATTTTTTGTGTCTCATTAGCCACAAGGTGAGAATTGAAGATAACAAAACACACACACACCTTGTAATGGGCGATTGTTCTTTGAAGGATCACTTAGTAAGGATTTCAGATAGCAAACTAAACAGAAAAAAAGCATGTATTCATATCACGATTTTGATTTTTTTTTGTTCTTCTTTTCCGTAAGAAACAAAATTTCAATTTTGTATTGATCCACACACATACACTTCCCGTTCAATTTAGATGCCACGAGCTTTGTTCAGAAGATGAATAGAGAAAATAGCTTCTTGTGTGTGTTGTTATGGTTGAATTGACAATTTTGGAACGATTGATTAATTTGTTTTTATTTTTTAATTAAATCAAATTAATTTTTAAATTACATGCAATATATCTATACACACACACAAAGATTATTAATTAACAATTTAACACAAAATTCAAACAAATCAAAGACAGAAATTAAAATTATTCTCGATATTTAATGTATGCCAATCGGTGTCTATAGAGTCATTACAAAGATGGCTTTTTTCTTCAATGAGAACCAACTTTTTTTTTATTTTTCATCTTTCTTTCTCTCTCTCTCTCTCTCTCTCAATATCGACTTCGGTCTATTGAATATAAGATTGGCCAGGATGAGAGAAAGTTTGTCCAACTTGTTGTTGCTGTTTTGATGATCCATATACACACTACTATCCTAGATTTATTTTGGACCACCATCTCTCTCTCTCTCTCTCTCTTTATTTCATTTGACAAGCTTAAAATTTCTCATTCGTGTTTTTTTTCTCACTGTCCATTCAATCACAATTGTCTGCATTTTTTTTTCGTTTGAATCTGTGACAGTTTAATACAAACTAGATCAATTGCTCTTCACTATTTAATGTTGTATGATCTTTATCATTAATTTGATCTTGCTCTTTTCATTTCATGTGTCAAGATATTTATGGACCGGTTTCATAGAAAAAAAAATTCATGTATAAATCATAGGATCACTATCTTGTAATTGAATGGATAGGTGTGATGACGATGGCAAAATGATAAAATGGTAACGAAAAAAAAAAATCAAATAATCAAATTGATTGAGCTTGACAATGGGCGTATAACTGTTTGACAGTATGTGTCACTGTGTGTGTGTGGGTGTAAATTTTCTTCAAGCTATTTATAACTCTTTCAGGTGTTTAAATTTTTGAAGTAAAATAAAATTTTCAATAACAGAAAACCGGAAAATTTTTGTACGATGTTTTTTTTTTTTTGATAAGTTCGAATTGTAACTCAAAGATGGCGATACAGCTGATCGAGATGTTAAATCGGTCCAAATCGGTAAAATATCCAAATTCATTTTTTTCACTTTTTTTTACCATTTTTTCTTTGGTTGAATAGCCATTTCGAAAATTCTATTGGATGTGGATGAATATTATCTTTCAATAGCTCTTCATGAATGTGAGACAATCATCTATGAGGAATGGTATACATTGATCAAATTATCTACAAAATTGTGATGAATCGTTAATTACGTGATCAGAATATTCTTTTCAAATCACATACCGTTTGTCATATATTGTTTGTAACGATTTCAACAATGAAAAAATTGTCATCAATACCGTTTAAATATCATTATTATTCGATTGACATTTTTTTTGTTTGATCGAATCATCATCCAAAATGACAATGGAATGTTGGAATATAAAACACGACAATCACAGGAAAACCACAAACTATTTGTAATCGATCCGAATTATCATCATCATCATGTATTTAATCTTAATCATGAAACATCATGAATGATTCTTTTTTTTTCATTATTACGCATCCTCATATTTCATTGCAATATATACACATAATAAGCAATCAATCTATTTTCTAACATATTCTTAAACCACTAGCAATTGACTAAAATGGGTGGTAGTAGTAAAACATAAAAAAAAATAGGATTCATTGATAGAAATAATTTCAAAAGTTTGGTTCGAATACCACAGCTCTGCACAAACACAACACCACATTCAAAATGAACAGACAGGATTGTGAAAATCACAGAAATGAATGAAGAATAACGTCGTCGACGATGACTACAAATTTTTTTTATTACTCTATTCATTTTGAATTGATGAAAAAAAAACTTCGAACAATTTAATCACTTATCTGTGTGTTTTTTGTGTGTGTGTGTGTTCCAGAACCGAAGATTCTGATCCCCTTTTTTTGTTTTGATTATCGGAATTCAAATTTTTCAATTTTCATAGAGTCAGCGCCTAATACTTTGTCGGTGTGTGTGTGTGTTTGTGTTCCTGTGTTTCTATCTATTCTATTCTATTATATTTTGATTCTGATTGTTTCCGCTATTATTTCATAATCGAACCATCAGATTTTTACCCCCACCTTTATACCGGATTCATTCATTCAACAATGATAATGATTATGATGACGAAACACTTTCGTTTCAATATTGACACGCTAAATTCTCATTAGAAATCATTTTCTATCATGGATCATAGTGATTCCTTGTTTTTGTTATACCATTATTATTATTATCATCATCATCATAGTTATAGTTGACCGATCAACCAAACAAAACTCCATCATCATCATCTACCTCGATGGAAAAAAAATAATCAAACCAACCGACCGAACCCAATTGACCCACACCAAGCCAAACCTGGCTATACCATGCATAATCATCATCATCATCAGAATAATAATTGTTTTGAAATAAAATGAATAGAATATATGGAATGACTTTTGGGTCAAAAAAAGAAAAAAAATATATATATGCAACCAGATGACCTATGACCTAGGTATATTACTGATTGGTCGGCTGATTTTTGGGCATATATACACACACAGGTTTGGAACCAAGTGTGTGTGTGTGTATGAATAATACCACACCCGTGAAAGTAATAATCATCATCCGGTTCGTTGTATATTTGCTGTCATTGTGTTCATATCTGGTACGACGTGTCATCATGTCATGTTCATTGTCATCATAGTTGTTGAAATGTTTTTTTTTTTTTTTTTTTGATAAGATGATAAATTCTTCAATTGATTGTTTTACATATTCTTTGGTGAACGTGTTTGTGTGTGCGTGTATATGAAATCTGATGATTTTGTTCATACAAAATGATCTCATCAACAAACGAAACATTTTCATTTTCTAGGCCTAACAATAGGTCAAACATAAGATTTCGTCATTGTATAAGGCCACCCGATTATTATTCTACTAAATGGCCAATATTATGGATGTTATGTTATTCATCAATATTATTCATCAGTATTGAACCAATCGATGGATCAATCACACAAGAAGGTATGATGTTTTTTTTTGTTACTATTTTCTCTATACAAAATTCAATTTCATTTATAATAAATAAAATGTTTTAAATACCAAAATGCGAAAAAAGTAGAAAGTAATAAGAAATTGCTTTTTTTCATCCAGAATTTCTTTTTGTTGTTGTTGTTTTTTGGCCCTGTTGGATCTGTTTTTGTTTGTTCGTTGATGATGATGATGTTTTTTCTTCTTGTTGTTGTTGTTGTTAGTTAAATGTGGAAATAATTATCCCGCAATGCGACGGACATCATGCTGTTTATATGGTTGTTATTTAATAATGAACATTCACAACATTCATGAAAAAAAAAGAAAATTTTTTCGCCTTTTGTGCCAAACTGAATAGTTCACTTTCAACGCCATGACGCCATAAATGAATGGCCAAAAAAAAAAAAAAAAAAAAAGAAATTTTTCCATCAACTTTTTTTTATTGAATAGAAAAAAAAAAAAAAAAAAATGTGGAATCGAATTTGAAAGCCATTTTATATATTGTGTTTGTGAAATAATAAACAACAAACCATCGTGAACCACCATAAGAGACATTTTCAATCATCAACAACATTCAATAGAGAATTTGAGAATGAATGGTGGGGGAGGGGGAAGGAAAAACAAAAACGAAATTCCATAGATTCCACAGTTGGCTGATGATGATGATATGAATGAATGTTGAATGAAAATAAAAAGGCACAAATAACTAAATATGAAATGATAGCTTTTTTAACAACAACAAAAAAAAAATTGTTTGTTATTGTTGTTATTGGTTCCATAATTGCCGCATTTTTTTTTCTGCACTCACTGTATATTGTTTGGTCATAGGATTATTTGTGTGTGTGTGTGCGTGGGTGTATGTGTTCATTCATTTTGAATAAACGGAAGGAAATTTATATTTGTCATTGTTAATTTTTTTTTTTGGTTATTGTTATTTGTTCTCCATATTATGGTGATGGTGGTGGTGCTTATTATATTATATTATATTATTGATATAAATGATGTGAAATATGTCAATGTTTTTAATGTTTGTCATCTCTTCAAGGCTTCTTATGATGATGTCTCTATACAATTTTTTTTTTCTCTCCAGCATCATATTTATCGATCCAATTGATTATGAATGAATGAATGAATTAGGATTCAATATGACAGATTTTAGTGTACAACAACGATGACAAAAAAATGCAATAAATAAAAACGAAAAAAAAAACTTTTCCGGTACTAGAACACTTGAAGTTTTTTTCTTTCTTTCGTCGTTTCGGTTACTATCTTCTTTCTTTCTTTCTTTTTTTCTTGCTATTGCGAATGATCACATTAATAAATGATAAAGAATTACATATTTTTAATATAGAAGCCTAAGGGCGATTCTATTTTGGAGCCAGAAAAAAAACAGCTATAAATTCATCGAAAGTTTTTTTTCTTAATATTTGTTATATATCGAATCTATAGTATTTATCATCGTTTGCATCTTAATTAATGGGGGAAAAAAATTGATCAATGAGAAAATGAAAATAAGATATAATTGGATATTTTAGACTAGCGAATAATGAAAAATTATTATCCAACATGATGATGTGATGTTTCAAAAGTAAACAACGAACAGAAGAAAATTGATAACAAACAATAAGATAGGTTAATTAGGTTTACTTTTTTTTTTTTTTTTGTTAGCTTTCATCAGGTTTCGATATATAATATTCTCTCATTATTACTATAGTATTAAAATTGAAGCTCAATTTGATGATGATGGTAATCGGATCGACCATGACCGATGATGATAATAATGATAATGATGATCATGATCATGATCATGACCGATGATGTTTTTTTTTGATAATAAAAAAAATACGTAACATGGTAACATATCCAATTAACATCGGGTTGAGATCGTGAATAAAATGAATGAATGAATGAATGAATTTAGTCAAGATTCTTCTTCCTGAATGATGAAGAAAATTTTTTTTTTTTTTGCTGATCAATCATTCTCCCCGTTGTTGTTGTTGTTGTAAATGGCCTACGCAAAAAATGGCCTAAAGAAATCTGATCGTTTGCAAAAATGCAAAAGAAAAACAAACGCTGCCCCGTTTTTGATTCGATAAAGTATAAATACTGATCGTTTGCAATATAATGCAAAGCGCTGTTTATAACGCTCAGAATTTTTTATAACCCCGCGTTAAGGCTGTATAGAATTTATAACAGGCTAGATTGCTGTCTTTTTCTCTCGGCAAACAGCCGAAACAATAAATTGTTTCACATGTTAGAAAACAGTGTCGATTTCATGTATTCATAACTAAATTCTGGTACGATAGAATTTTTTAAGAATTCACAAGAATAGCTAATAAATACAGTATATTCATGTGTTCGCATTAATTAGCAGCCGTTTTTTTCCATTTATTCATTGTGAATTTTTCATCTAAAAATTGCAGCTGTTTGGCTTTTTGTTGTCTGGTCTTTGTTCTTTCTCACAAGCAAACACACGAACACACACAGAAAAAAAATTTATAGACCCATGCCCGATGGGCATGGAACTTCACTGTCATTTCACTATAGTCTTTTCTTTCTCTCTCTCTCTAACTTTACCGTTGAATAGTTTTAGGGTCTTTTCAATTTTTTCTGAGTTGAGTTATTGTGTTGTTTTTTGGTTATAAAATAGCTGTCAATCAGTTTTTTTTTCATACTCTCAATAGAGTCGATCATTTCGAACGTTCCCATCGATCATCATCGAATCGAATTGAATTCAATCTAATCTAATCCAATTCATTCTCATTGTGAATAGATCACTTGAATCTCTTTACCCTTGAAAAAGTCTGAATTATGATGATGAACTTTGCCAGAAGCTTCAAGAAAAAAGGGCAAGCCTATTTTTTTGGCACGAATGTCCATTTTTAGGCCATTTTGACCATTCTGACCTTTGGCCTTAATTATAATCGGTCAAACTTTGATGAATTTAAAGTTTGATATGTAATATTTGGATCTTGTTAAATTATAATGAATTATGCCAACAATTGATCAGTAGAATTGTAAGAATAATAGTTCCAAATTGTGTAATAGTTATAGAATAAACGAACTTTAATAATAATAAATATTTTATTTTAATTTGTCTCCTAGAACTAGTCGGGAACGACTAGGGCAGACACACACACACCGAAAGAAATGTAAAAAACGCGCCGTTTTTGTCTCTTGTCAACTGTATACATATATCTTACATACCAACATATCGCAATACAATCGATAGTTTTAAATAAATATTTTTTACGAAAAAATTTATATTCATTAACAAAACAAAAGTTTTAAAAAAAGCTATTATTCAGAAATAGTTTTACAATATTCATAGACAAATGAATAGATTAATTTAGACAGTTCAAAAATTCGCAAGTCCGAACATGGTGATCGATTAGTAATATTGACTGGTGATTCTGGATCCAAAATGAAAAATTCGAAATGTACATCAGCATCTTTATCGAATAGAAATAATGGATAAAAATTATCATTCAATGGAAATAACCAATCTTTAAATACGCGTTTAACTTCTTGCGTCAAGCGATGAAGAGTTAGCTTTGATGCTTTCTTATCCTTAAGTGTTTTGACTATAAGATCGAGGCATCGATATTGATAATCATAATCTTTCAAAAGTTTACGATTCTCTTCTTGTTGTAACAATGATCGGACTGAAGAATTGTCATCATTTGAATCGGCCAATGCTTGAGATGATCCATTCATTGATTCAACTGAAGATGATTGTTGCTGTGGCGAACAGTTTACGTTATGATCAAAAATTTTTGTTACAGTTATTTTTTCGCCATTAGATGATCGTTGGTTGAGATAAGTTTGTTTCATGATTATCAACGCCGAACGTTGAACACATTGGTGATGATTTTTTCTCCATACATCCAGTTGATTCGACTCTTTGATTTGCTTGAGACGCTAAATCTGATGGTGTTGATCGTGATTTTCTTAGATTTTTTTCGGGCGATTCATTCTGAGGAATACTGTCGTCGACATAGAAATTCGAATGATCAGCAACGATATGTTGATATAATGACACGTGACTGCAAAATTCCTTGCTGCAGCAATTTGCCGAAGAGATTTCGCCTCTTTGGATTGCATGCATTGATTTCACAATGGCATTATTCTCGTCAAATGTTCTTTTCGGTATTAACTAAGTAAGAAAAATTATAAGTAGTGACAAATAATTAAAACTTGAAGCATTTACCTCTGAAAAACCAGCAGCAAGTTCATTTGCACGATCAAATTTGGATCTCAATGATTCTTTGATCAATGACGAAATTTCTGGTGAGCTGATCAAAGCTTCCACCTTTTTGCACGGCGTCGAACATTTCGAGATTCATTGCGTAATATCTATATCTCTTCATAAATTTGACGAGTTTGCCAACATATTTTTCGTAGTTCTGGATGAATTTCAAATCATTTCCAGAGTCGATCGATACGAACAAATTCTTTAAATGGTATCGCAACGACGCGATTTGGTCGTTCTTGGTCATATCTAAAAAATTGTGTTGCAAAATAATAAAATGTTGATGATAATGATGATGGTGAATAATAACGACCAGCCAGCAAAAAATGATATCGAGTGCTTGTTTGGCATGGCTTTTTATATGACTTGACCATGACACTTGTTGATAAACAGCTATCTTCCAGAAAATCCATGCGTATATCCAGGGTCAGGTTAATGTAGTAAAAAGATTAAATAGAATGTTGACGTGTATTAACAAAACTTCGACAACAACCCTTCAGGTTCATGTTAGTAAAAGTTAGCTTATCATTGTCCTTGATCGAAAGTGGTGATCGTGTAGAAAATTTTCTTTGTTATCATAGGCCATAAAATAAGTCTATGACTCATGGCCACGTTTTTTTTTTTTGCAAAAACTTAGCAAAAATCAAATTGATCAACAAAAGATTGATCAACTAATGAGGTGGCATTTTCCTATTTTTACAGTGGTTTACATTTTTCAATAAATTTGAATTTTTTATTTCAAAAAAGTGGTGAAAAACAAAAAAACAAAATTAATTGTTTTAAAAAAGCACATACGTAATAGTTATAGAACATTAAATAAACGAACTTTGCTTTGCTTCTTGTTTATGTTTATTTGGTCTTAATACGCTAGTGAATATCTACGTCAATTTAACAGATCTCTTTATGTTTATCCATCCCTTCTTTTCTTTTTCACGATTCTTTATTGGACTGTTTTTGTGTATAGATAATTTGCAGAAAAAAAAGAATTAAAGTCATTGACTTTGATGGCCAATATTTGTCATATAAAATGGGCAACAATTTTTTTTTTTTTTCGTCACCATTCTAGAAAATCCATGAAAAAGCCGTTTGTTGTTCTATTTGACTTTATCATCGTTTGTTACATTTGACGTAATATTAAAAAAAAATGCCAACTATCAGATTGCCCGTTGATTGATTCTATTCTTAGCCAACAAACAACAGTTATACATTAAATATATATAGAAAACTTTCTCTTCCACTTATTTATTCTGTCTGTCTGTCTGTCTGTATGATGATGATGATGAAGATGATGATAATGCCCATAAAGAAAACAAAATGAAACTTTCATTTATTGTAATATTTATTTGAACAATTCTTCATATTGAATGCATCAAAAATGTCCATATAAATATAATATGTAGTGATGTGATAATGTTAGTAGAAAAATTAAAAGCTAATCTTTTGTTTTAATCTCTCTTGTCGCCGGATCACACCAACCAAACATTTTTGCTTTTTTTTTTTTTGAATAATACTCATTCATTGATTTCATCGTTATGTCGACATTATTCTTATATATATACAGAAGCCTTTATGTTTAGTCTGTATATTTGGTTGGTGGTTGATGGATATATTCATTGTAAAGATAACATCTCTCTTTTTTTTCTTTCATATGATGATATAGTAGATGGTTTCAGAAATACGGGAAAAGGGGTGGGAGAGGAGGTGTTTTTTTTATAGAAAACAGTTTTGAAAGTTTCAATGTTTTCATTTCTATGGGAAACTACACACACTAACGCGCGGATTAAGTTTATTTTTTCTATTTCACAGAGGTTTTTTTAAAAAAAAAACATACACAAAAGATACAACATACATTACGAGATAGAGAAAAAAAAACAAAGATTTAATCTCACTACCATTGTGTATAGCAACAGACACACACATACAATATTTGACAGTTATATTTCGGTGGTAAAACTCTGTATGAACACATCATATTTGCATAGACAGAATTTTGTTGTTGTTGTTGTTGTTGTTTTTTAACATGAAAAGTTTTTTTTTGAAAACAATAATAACAGAAAAAAATGACAACTCCCCTTACACCGAAAAAAATGATTGAAAGATTTTTTAGAAAATGAGAAAAAACTTTTTTTTTCATAATGAAAACTATTGTCTCTGTGCTATTCTATCTATAGTTATGTCGATGATGAACGATAAAACGATGATGGTTGGTGATGATTATGGTTTTTTTTCAAAAAAAGAAAAAAATAACCATAATTTTATTTGCCAAGATTTTTTTTCTCCACTAACAATATGGAAATTTTTTGTTTTTTTATTTTGGTCTTCCGTTTACATTTTAGATTTGGATCGCTTATAAAAAAATGAGTGACTAGAAAAAGATTGTCAACCAATGTAATGATTATGATGATGATGATGATGATGATGATGATGACAATGAATTTAAGCTCTTTCTCTCTCTCTCTCTCTCTCTCTTGGGTCCTATTGTCCAAACACGCATTATATGACCCTATTTTTTTTGTTATTGGAACTTTATTTCATATTTGAAGAGTATTTCAACGAAATAAAGGGGACCATTTCATCATGTGTTTTATCGTCCATCAAAATCGAAAATGTGGAAATGGAAAAAAAAACTTTTCTGTCATTTGACAAGTTTTCTTTTCTTCCATTCCCATTGTATTTTGTCACCTCTTTTGTATTATTTTTTTTTCTGTCTTGGTGATCCAACAAATTTTTATTGGAACTTAACAAACGAATCATTTTTATTGTTTGAAATGAATGACCAAAAAAGAAAAGAGATTAGGAACTTGGAAACCCCTCACCCCTCAAAACCATAATGTTATTCACAAATTGTCTAATAACAAATAATAATAGATTAACGATGCTGTTTTGATTGACTCTTCCTGTGTGTATATGTGTGTGTGTGTGTGCGTTTGTTCACGCACAAATCAAGACATAGATTTTCATTCTTTTAAGAAATTAGAGCATCCACATATGTTGATGGATCATCATCATCATTCAATTGATGTTTGTAATAAAATAAAAATTGTTACAGTAAAGAAGTAGAAAAAATCTATACATTGACTTACTTATTTGATCTGTTTTCACTACACAAACACACACACTAATGTCATCAATCTCTATACGAAAATGTTTTTTTTTTTTTTTTGGATGTGAAAAGAATTCATCATACACACACACACACACGAACACAAACATCCATTAGTCAAATTAGTTTCGTTTTCAAGTTCTATATCTGTGATCACATAAGTCTTATTGATGAACAGATGAATGAATGGATGAATGAATGAATGAATGAATGGAATTGAATGATGAGTGAATCAAATCCAAAATGTTCAAATGTTGGAATTCTTTTGCATATTCTATGTTGATTGTGTGTGTGTGTGTGTGTGTGTGTGGTAATTTCATTCCATTTCTCTATTTGATTCCCATTCAGAATGCAAATATTTGCCTACTACTACTATTATATTCGCCAACGAACAAACTGTTTATCATTTATTCAATTTCAATATTCATATTCATTGTGAATAATGAAAATTCTATTGTTAATTATTTTTGATTAATAATGAAATGTTTGAATGAATATAAAATTAATAATAATTCCATATGTTTTTTTTGCTTCAGGAATATTTTTTTTTTGTTCATAAATTTAATTTGACTTTCGATCATTCGAAATAATTCTTTGTTTCTTTTGTGTTTTTCATTGATTACATGGAATATATGGAACAAAGAATGATTGATCTTTACTATCTGCCCAAATGATGATGGTGTTGACAACTACAACAAACAGCAAAGATTCTTGTTTTGCTTCAAATTGAATTTGTATTCGTTCAATGATCTCCAATCATTATCATCATCATCATCATCGCATAATGATCGATTCTCGAATTTCAAACCGATATAGTAACTTGGCCATTTATTATTATAATTCTATTTTTGCTAATTTTAGTGATTATGATGATGATGTGATTATAATTCTTATTTTTTTATACATCGTTTATCACACACACAGTACTTAGCAATAGTAACTATATCTTTTCAATCAATGAACATTTACATCATCATCATCATCGTGACTATTGTCGTAGCCATCATGATCATCATCATTGTTGGTAAAATTATCCATCATAAATGTGCAATCCATCATCATCATACACCAACAACATCATCATGATCATGATTTTTGATCGTTGTACGTTCATATCATCAGAAATAATTATTCTCATCCATACCATGTATATGCTATGGATGGATGTCCGTTTTGTCCCTGCCAACGATCGAAGCAATTAGATAATAATCATTAATGGGTGTTTTTTTTCCTTAGATAGTCAGTCATATCATTCGTTTTGATGATGAGAACTCATCATTATCATCATTAAACAGACAACAATGACACATTACAATATCTGGTTGCAATGTTTGATTTGTTTGAAAATGTGGATGTCTATTCTTGCTGACAAATTCAGATCTCTAATTCATTGCATGAATTCATGAGTGTGTGTGTGTGTTTGTCGATTTGTGTATTCATCCATATGACAGGATCTGAATTATTCCGGGATTTTATATCCAGAAAAAATTGAAATTTCGAATGAAGGTGTATAATTATCATATAGGATGCAAATGTTGAAATTGAAACACCGCCTAATAATACGCATACATTTTTTTGTTGTTTAAAAATTTCAATTCAATGACCTTTTTTTTGAATGTAGCAATCATTATCAGTGTGCAGTTGTTGTTGTTGTTGTTGTTGTCGGCTTTCCATGAATCATCATCTTTTTGATTTGTAGAATTTAATGAATGATGCGTTGAAATGCCTACGATATTTGATGTGTGCTTACATACACGCCCACATTCCTATCATTATTTTTGTTTTCTTTTTGATCACCAATAATAATAATAATAATAATTTCCATTATTATTCTGGTTTTTGATGATCATCATTGGCATATATAACTTGTTCATCAATTTTTTGTTTTTATTGTGGTTGTTATTTTTTTTGTAATGCAAAAAAATCAACAATCATTCTATATTTGAAATTTGATCGACAAAAAAAAAAAAGAAAAATTCATTCTGATCAATTCAAATATGATTGAATGGTTGGATTTTCTTTTCCTCAACATCCATTTTATCATCAATTGAATTTATAATAATAAATTTATTAACATGAATGATGATGATGATGATGTATAAATTTATACTTGGCACTTAATTTGCATCTATGTTTAATTTGATTTCCTGGGTCTTTTTTTTTTTGATTCCCTCCACCGCTACTTTATTTTGACTACAATAAAATTTCATTACCATTCATTTTTCTATCTATCTATCAGTTATAATAATAATAATAATAATAATAACAAACTATTTTACTTTTGGTTTTTTTTGTTCGGGTCTTTTTTTTGAAAAGAGCCAGAAAAATGGATTGAATATCTATATATATGGTAGACATTGCATAAATTTGTGGTCCACTCATCAGCAGTAACCACAAACAAAGAGAAAAAATGAATTAATATTATCAAAATTATCATCATGAACCAATTGAATATAATGAC